CGTTGGAGAGGCATTTGGCATTAACTAGTCAACTTGAACATGTCCTTATTTGCACACCTAGAGGAACTTCACACTGGAGCCCCAGAAGACCTAGGTATGCAGGGGGAATTCCTTCTCTTATGCCCCAGAAGACCTTGGTGTACACACACTTGGAGGAACTTGAACACCTGAGCTCCTGGAAAGCTGCGTGTCACCTAGGAGAGTTGCACACTTGTACCCCGTGGACACAGGTGTACGCCTGGAAGAACTAAGGCCTGAGCCCCAGTGGACCTGTTCATTGTGGCATTGTTTGCAGTTAGGACATTGAAACAACTTAAATGTCTGCAGCGTGATAATTGTTACTTTGTGCTATAATTTTAACTACTGAGCAAGGAAATGAACAACTTGAGGTCTGTCTTGGTGTGGGTTCCCCAAGAACCACATCCTGAGACTGATTCAAGGGCAAGTGGTTTTCTTGGGAGGTCACCCCAGAAAGCGCCAATAGGAGAGTGGGGGAGGGAGGCAGGGAAGAGAAGGCGGCCACCAAGAAAGGTGTGTCTTCAAGCAGGTGACCACATGGGCCAACGGAGCTTGATCCCACCAGGATACCTGGGGAAATAGCATTCCTCGCGTGCCTCAGTTTCCTCGTCTGTATTTGCATGCCAGCCCCTGCTGGTCCTCGCGGAGGCTGCTCCCAGGTGGCCTTAACTTCCTCAGCACATCCAGCCTCCCTGCCCGTGAGAGCGAGTCCTCAGGCCGAGAGACGCAGGTGCAGGTGCTGGCCGCTGGGGGTGGTTCTGGGTAAGGGTGGGGTCTGGATGGCAGGTCCTGCCCAGTGTACGTTATCAACACGGATAAATGGGGGAGATGTAATGTCGAGTGAGAAAATCAAGTTGCTGAAAGCACGCCACTTACAGAAATGTTGTGAACAGGCAAAACAGTGTTCTCTGTTGCTTGTAGATGCAGGAGCGTGGCCAGCGGGCAGAGGCATGTGAGGGAATAAGGAGCCCCACATCCAGGGAGGTGGGTTGCTTGCAGGGAGGGAAGGTGCCCAGGTGGCTCACCTCTCTCTGTAGTGATCCTCCCTGCCTTTTCCTACCTTGAGGTTTGATATCTGCATGGTAATGGGATAACCGAACTAATCTTAGTGCGTACTTACGGGGCTTTGCCTATGCATGGCCTGAGTAGCCATGGCTGGGATGAAGATGTACAATGTTTTCAGCACCCTCCAAGAACCCCCCTTAGGCCCCTCACCAGTCTGCACCAGCCCCACACTTGATGAATTTCTTTTTGCAAATGGTTTCAAGCAAATTCGACTTAATGTTAAGATTTGCCAAAGCTGGGTAGTGATGAGTTTGTGGGTGTTTGTTATATTTTTCGCTGTCCTTTTCTGTATCCTTGATGTATGTCATCATCATCCTCCTAGCAAGAAGAGCAGGTTTGGGCAGATGCGGGGACAAGTGGTCCAGGCACAGACAAAGATTCTTAGTCTGGAAGGAGTTTCCCAGGCAGTCCTGGAAATCCTGAGAACGGTCTTGTGTCTAAAGGAGGTTTCCAAGATGAGAGCTGCTTTTGACCTGAGCGTTTCAAAGCTGTCAAGCCTTGGACAAAGAGTCGCCCTGGAGGGTCCCTTTAACCAGCCCTGCCAGCGCAGAGGACATCGGTGCTGCCTGGAAATGCCGGTCGTGCCTTGGGCAGCACGAGGGCCGGGCCCAGAGCCCCTGCCTGCCCATTCTTTCCGGGTCACAAGCTGCCCATGGTGCCTGTCACGGCTGGCTTGTTTGCAGTTCCTCCGTGGGTGGCCCCGAGCCTCCCATTGTTGCATCACAATAGCTGTGGCCCAGCTCGTGTGAAGAAACCAGGACAGGAAGCCCCGATCTAGGCCAGCCGAGCACTCCTGGCTTCCTGCCCTCCCTGGCTGTGCTGGGCGAGGCTGCTTTCATCTCCCTCCAGTCTGGGAAGGCTGGGGACCCAACTTCCCATCATATCCCAGGCCCTGTTAAAACGTCCTCTAGGAACGCCTGTCCCTGTCCCATGCACCCATTGTCCTTCCAAAAGCAAGATCAGCAAACTTCCCAGGGGCCTGAGTCGAAGCTTCTGCCATGTGTCAGACACTGTGCTGGGCACATTCCATACCTTCCTTTGATTTTAGGGCACCTCCTCTGTGCCAGGCACTACTTTTGGCCCTGTACAGCTGTGAACAAGACAGGCAAGGTCCCTCCTTTCGTGGAGCTTCCACTCACTTTATCCTATTAGATTCCGAAAGGCAGGCACAGTATTACTATGATCCCCGTATTTGGGGAGAATAAACTGAGACTCAGAGAGGATAGTACACTTTCCTGAGGTCACAGCAGGAAGGAGAAGATTTACGAGTTTAAACCTGACCTCTGTTGTTGGATCCAGGGGTTAAGGTATCATCCCAGCCCTGCTCCCTTATCTTGGCCTTTCCCTTAGGAGCTGGTGTAGATTGCTTAAGCTCAGTTTTCTCACCTGGCAAATGGGCTTATAATGCAAGATGGGAAGGTAGAAAGTGCATGAAGGCAAGGAGCACCTCTTGGAGGAGGTGACATTTGAGCTAAGGCCTGACAGATGAGAAGGAGCCTGCCCAGGGCAGGATGGGGGAGACCATCCTGCAGGGGCAGCATGTGCAAAAGTCCTGAGGCAGGAGTGTGTTTGGCAGGTAGATGGAATCTAGAATAAGGATGTGGCTGAAGATTATTGAGGTGCCGGGGGGATGGAGCGCTGGGAGGTGAGATCGGAGAGGTTAACAAGGACAAGGCCGTGGGGGCCTTATGGGCTGGGGAAGATTTGGATTTTAAGTGCAGTGGGAAGCTATAGAGAGAGAGCTTAAGGCCATGGATTGACAGGATCTGATGTACATATTTAAAAGCATCCCTCGGCTGTGTGTGGAGAATAGACTTTTGGGAGGGCGAGGGGGACCAGGAGGAGGCGACAGTGATAGTCTAGGCAGGAGGATGGCCGTTTGGACTGGCAGGTGGCCCCAGGTGGGGAGAAGTGGTTGTATGGTTCAGGTGAAGCTGGCGGACCGGAAATGGAGTGTGGGGGAAGAGGAGTGGTCCAGGATGACTGGGGCTTTGTCCGGAGCCCCTGCGAGGCAGAGACTCTGTTAATGAGGCGGGCAGGAGCTCAGGTGCCGCGGGTTTGGAGGAAAGATCGGGACTTAGTTGTTGGGCAGGTGAGGTTTGAGGTGTGCCTCGGACATGCAGGTGGAGAGAAGTCTGGATTTCAGGAGGGGTCCAGGCTGGGGGTATAAACATGGGGGTCGTCACCAAAAAGATGGGATTCAAAGCCCTGAGACGGGCTGGGGTTGCCCTGCACTCTGTGTGGACAGAGACAAAGCTGCCTTCCTCTGTGTCCCCAGCTTCCCTCTCTGGGACCTGCTATGTGGGATGCCATTGTGGAGTCGGGGCTACCTCTCCAGTGACGGGAAAGGATCCGACAGCCGTCCACGGAGGGCCAGCCTCCTCTCTGCCCACCTGCCCCTGCTTCCCCGACCCTAGCACAGCTCGGCTGTCTCCGCCATCTCTAGGCTTTCACTTGGAGATCTCCCCAGACAAGCGTGGCTGGATGAGACACGCTCTTAATTAACCTGCCCCCGGGCCCTGCTCCGGACGCCTCACGCTATAATCAGTCTTGGCAGGGCCGCTGACTGACAGGCCCACGGCTCACCGTGGCCCTGCGGCTGTGACAGGACCGTGGATTCCTTTCCTGGGGGTCTCCACGTGGCGGTTGCCAGGTTAACCTGGGGTTAGGCGCCACGTCCTGGAATTGGGGCAAACCAGGCAGCTGTGGGCGGCTGGCCTCAGTGTCCCTCAGGTGCTGACTGATGTCTCTCCCCTTCCCCACATCCATCCTGTCACCTCAGCCCCCGGCAGCTCCCCTTCCTTCTCTGTCCCACCCACACCACTCCAGGGCAGGCCCCCGTCTCCCGTCGGCCCCCTGCTCCCCTCCACGCTGGTCTCCCCCACTTCCGTGCTCAACCCCTAAAACCAGGTCCTCGTAATAATGGAGGCTCTTTCACCAATGCTTACAAACCGGGAGACTGCTTTAAAAATCCTAATTTCTGGCTTCACTCAAAAAAAAAAAGAAAATCAGACCCTCAGGCGATACTGGGCCCCTCTCCACCTGGCCCCGCTCAGCTGGGTGCGCGCTGGGGGCGCCACAGCCCCGGCACTGTGCCCTTTCCTTGTCCTCTGCCGCGTCTCACAGAGGAGAGAGATGGTTTGTTCCGGGGCCCCGGAGAGAGCGGCGAGAAGGACCGTGGTGCGTTCGTACAGCAGGATCCTGGGCATCTGTCAGAAGGAACGAGGATGCTCCCCACGGAGTGATCTGGAAAGATCTCTGAGCTTTATTACGTGGAAAAAGCAGGTGCAGGGCATCCTGTGTATGTAGCTATTTTTTTGGTGTATAAAAAAGGGAAAACATAGGAATAGACGTGTATGTATGTGTGTACACATTTGCGCGTGTTTGTGTTTGCATAGATTCTCTGGAAGGATACTCGGGAGAATAGTAGCTGTGGTTCCCGTGGGGAGTGGGGGTAAGGAGAGAGACTTTTGGGTTTTTGACATTTTGTATTTTTGACTTTTGAGCCATATTCGTGTGTTATTGTTCAGAAGTTAAATTGTAGAAAAAGAATTTTTAGAGGGGAAATGAACTGCAGTCTGAGAGGCACCCCGGGAGATGAAGCAGGTGCGACTTTATCTTTTTGGGCGGCAGGTTCCTCGGGCGCGGGGGCTCCGAGTCGTTGTCCTGTCTCTTCGGGGCCCAGCGCAGGGCCTGGCGCGGTGGATGCTCGGAAGCATCTGGCGGCTGAGGGGGAGCGAGGGGTGTTCCAGTGTGTTTGACATGTGAGCAGAGCAGGTTTTCCCTCGTTCCCTGCACGTTTCTGGACCGTGGCACCTCCCAGGTCCTAGGTGGCATTTGAACTTGTGGCCCTTCCGTGGGGCTGTCCTCGGACGTGTCAGAGGCTGCACACTCACCTCTCTGCTTCTCTCCTGCAGGCATTCCTGCATCGCATCCGGCAGAACGTGGCGGACTCCGTGGAGAAGGGCCTCACGGAGGACAATGTCAAGGTGTGGACGCTTGGGCCGGCCCCTTTCGGGATCGTCCCTGCTGCTTTGTGCCTTGCTCTTCCCGGGCCACGCTCAGAGGGTGCGCAGGGGGGAGGCGCGTCTCCTGCTGGCTCTGCCCCACCCCAGCTTGCTCCCTGCAACCCCTGGGGGCTCTCCGTGCTGTGAGCAGGCTGCGCGTGGAGGGGGTCAGGAGGAATCTGCCCCGGGCCCGTTCTCCAGCTCCCGTTTCCTCTCCTCACTCAGGGTGGCCACCCTGTCTTCCAGCCTCCTCGTGCCAGGCCCTGGCATGGAGCCAGTGGAAAATCCCTTCCCAAGTGCCCCTGGGAGCCTGGCACCCCCACCACC